AGATAATCGTAGATGGTTGTAGACGGTTGTAGCCAGTAGTAGAAGAAGGAAGAACAGTTTTCACTGTTGCAGGATGAGAAAGGGATGCAGGGATGATATGATGGGTCCATAATACTCCATATACAGCCAATGTCTGCTCTCTGCTGCGGTTGGGGTTAAGCCTGGCCGGAGAGCCCGGCTCATCCCCGCAGCCCGCTGCTAATGATGTCAGGGACGCCGGGCCAGTTTTCCAGCTTATAATAAAATTTTCCTTCTTCTTCTTCAAAAAAAAAAAAAAAAGAAAAAAAAAGAAGAAGAAGAGACCTGAAAGCAGAGAAGTGGTGACTGCAAATGATTGCGACGGACTCCAAACGACTGCAGATGACTGAGAATGGGCCACGCTGCAACACTCAGCAACTCTGAAAAAGACAAAAGAGATGGCAGGTGTACCTTTCGATGTTGAAATAACCGCGCGGGTGACTGCTGCACAGTTTCGAATTCGCAGGAATAACAGTCCACTGCAAGCTTGGGCGAAGACCAGTTGGAAACTGCAAGAAAAACAGTAAGGTGGGAGCACGACGGCCTACCGGTTCAGTAATTGGCAAAAACGGGAGGTGGCGGTCGTGTTCTTTTTTTTGTTTGTTGTTTGTTTATTTTTTCCGCGCCTGCTTGTGCCACGGCCGTGCTGTCTAGGCCACACTTGTGGCTGGGCCATGGCCGAGATGTCTTGGCCACGACCATGGCTGGGCCATGGCCGAGATGTCTAGGCCACTCCCGTGGCTGGGCTACGGCTACGATGCCTAGGCCACACCCCTGGGGCATGGTCCTCCTAGCAAAGAGGATCGGATCAAATGCCCGAATCTGGACGAGGTTATGGAGATGTGCAGGAAATGGAGATTGAACTGCTTTTCTGCATCTCTGCATAAAACACATCCAGATTCAGGAGCTGGATCCTACCCTCTCTGCTAGTGGGACCACCGCCCTGGGGAAACGAGCCAAAACTGGGAGGGCCTGCTACGAGTGTGGCCTAGACAGCTCTGCCGTGGCAGGCGGGAAAAAAAAAAAGAG